TTATTTTATTTATTTTTATATTTCTTCTTTTCTTTTATTTTATTTTTCTTTAAATAAAAGATCTTCCACTCAACCTTTATCACTTTAAAATTTGCTACAGCTTGATAGTTTTTAGTAAATTTTATTACAATACTAAATAATAATAATAATATAATATAATAATAATAATAACATAATAATAATAATAAAATAATAATAAATCATTCTATAATACTACTTATATGTATTCAAAAATAAACTACCTTTTTGAATAATTTTGAATGCAAAAAAAATTTAAAAATAGTTTATTTTAGATATAATTAATTTTTAATTGATCACAAGTAATTGTTATATACAAAAGTCTAAAGTTTACTAAGTAAATCGATTCTGTTAATTAAGTAAAGTTTGTTCAAAAGGTTAAAATACATTTATTTTGAAAGTTTAATATAAATTGGATACCTTTTTACTAATATACTTTTGTATTTATGTTTGATAAATATAATTTTTAAAGAAATTTTTAATTTTTTATCAAATGTAATATGTAAAAATATATTAATAAAAGATAATCTGATTTGCATGAAACTTTTAAAATAGATGTATTTTTACTTTATAAACAAACTTTACTTAATCAATAAAGTTAGTTTATTTAGTAAAATTTGAACCTTTATATGTAACAATAATTAATAATCATGGAGTAGTTTTTTTTTAAATCAATAACAATTTTAATTTTGAAAAGAAAAATGACAATATCTTTGTAAAATTTAATTCAAAAGACTTAAAAATTGAGATTCAAGTATTTCTTTACCTTCCAAACAACTTTAATTAAGACTGTGAAAGTGATTTTATTTAACCAAAATGTTATAAAACATTTAAATATTTTTTTAATGTTTAAAAATAAAAATTAAATATGTTTTAAAAGAAACAATTAATTTTTTTATAAATTCTTAACTAAATGATTTTAAATTTCATAAACAAAATTATATATATATATTCTACAAGTTTGATTAAGCTGTCAAGTCATAATTACTATTAAAAATTTTCCATTAGAAGTATGAACCTAGATTTTTTCATTAAGAACTCAAAAAATAAAAAATATAAGAATGTAAAATATTAATATCTTTACAAATTTTTAATAAAAAATTCTAAAAAATGAGATTTAACTGCTTGTTGACTATATGAACAATTTTTGTTAGTAACATAAAGGTTGTTTCATTTGATCAAAATATAAAAATCATCAATATGTTTCTATGATATTTAAAAAAAAAAATTATTATACATGTTTAAAAAAAATATATAAATATTTCTATGATATTTTGATCAAAAGATCTGAAAATTGAAATTTAAGTACTTTAAGATACTTTATACAATTTTACTTAGAACTGTTAATATAGTTTTCTTTGACTGTAATATAAAAATTATATATTGAATACCTTGTATACTTAAAAAAATAAAAATATAAAAGTTAAATCAACAATAAATTCTAAATACAAATCTAATGAAAATTTACTAGTTTTTTTTAAGTATTATTTATTTTTGTGAGAAAAGTAAATTTTGTGAGATTATTTGAGATTAACTATACTAGTGATCATATACTATACATTCAAAAGTTTTTTTGATACTAAATAAATATAAAAAAAAATTATAAAAAATGCATGAGTAAAAGATATATATATATTAATCAGATTATAATAATTTTGCGCAGATTATTTTAAAACTTAATTTCTAATTCAGTATATTCTCAGACTGTAATATATTAACTAAAAATACAAATAAATATGGTAACTATTGATAATATCAGTTTTAACAAATAAAAAAAATAAAAAAAAACTTTGAATTGTGTTGAAAACTTAAATTTTTTAATATTTTAAATATTTATTATAACAATTAATATCCATTAAGAATAGGAAGTAGTATTTTAAAATTATATATAAACCTAATGATAAATTTTTTTATATTTAATTTTATGAATAATTATATTAAATAAACTAATTTTAATCATTAAATAAAAATTATAGAGTAGGTCTTTCTGATTCTAATAATAATAAAATTATTAAAATAGATTAAAACTCATTGAGATATAAATTTTTAAGGATTAGAATATAAAATTATAGAATAAATTAACTAATCAAATTCTTTGTTTTTGTATTATCTAAGGAAATTTTAATCTATCTAAGTAAACTTTATTATATATGCAAGTATATTTTTTAAAATAATACAATATTTTAAAATTTTTTTATAATAGATAAATAATTTTATTTATAATATTATAAAATTTTTTTATTAATTAATTAAAAAATAAAAAAGTTTTATTAGTAACATATATTAATTTTAGATGAAAATTTTAATATACTATATATAACTATATAAAAATAATCTACATGCCCTCTACCCTTAAGCTTTGATTAATTTTTTTTAGTTAATATACTTTTCTAATATTCTTTCAAAAGATTTACAAAACAAAAAACTATAGGTTTGTTTTTCATAATGACAATAAAGAAAAAAAATTTATAAAAGTAATAATATGATCATTATTTAATGAATTTCAATTATTAATTTATTTAATTTTTTACTAATACATTAATTTATTACTAATACTTTATTGATTACTTGATTTTTTTACTAATATTTTACTGATGTCTAATTAAATATTCTTTGTATTATTAAATATAAAATAAATCTAATAACTATTTTATCAATAACTCAAATTATTGATAAATTTATAAATAACATATATTGATTTTTAAATAATGGAATTAATCATCAACACATAATAGGTACAACTATATATTTGGTTTATATATTTTTTTAATATATAACTTTTATCTTTAAAACAGATTTCAATAACCTAGGTAATTACAACAACTCTTCCTTAAAGACTAACTTATCTTCATTTAACTTTACTAGTTCTAACTCTATTTCATAAATCTAATCTTTATAGTAATATTGTTGAAAGTTTGAGCTACCTTTCTACTCAGATCTTCTAAGTAAACTTCTGTCTTTCTGATTTCTGTAATTTACACAACTATGAGGACTTATTATGAGTTTATACTACTATTATATGAATGTTATATGACCTTTTAATCATGTTGATATTATATAAATAACAGGTATCTGATCTTAACCAATAGCAGAAGACAGTTAATTATAACACAGAAAAAATTTCAAAATTTCATTAATACTAGAATTTGAACTCTAAACCTGCCACTTGAAGGTTGACAACATGACCATTTCATTATATTACCATGTCTCTTTAAATTAGTATTTTAAATACTGTTAAATATGATTATATATATGAAATTGACAACTTTATTAAATACAAATAAATTAGAAAAAATTTACTTACTTATAATATTCTAAAATTTACTATTAACATTGAAATTAAAAACTCATTTGAACATTGATAAAATCTTTGTCATGCCAGAAATGCACAACATTTAACTCCCTTTTTGCATGACCAATATGGATCTTTGACAATATAATCCTCATATGAAAAGTGCACAACCTATATTTTCAATGAGCCGAGTTGCTTGGCATATTTAAATACCTGCTCATCTAAGTAGGTCAAATATAGAGAACCTGGCACACATAAATTTATTTGGCATGCTTGTGCCACTTTGTACTATGTTTTTTCTCTATTAAATATTTTGACTTTCTGGCATGCCAATGATTGCCATTCCAGGTTCCCTATTATATTGCTTTTATAAATGAGTTTAGAATACTATACTATATGAGATTCGAGATTTTTTTTTGATATTGGCCTTATCCTGACTTATACTAGTGGCTAATGAACCAATGAATGAATGAATTATAACATTGGTCCATTGAAATCCATTGACAAACTTATTTTTAATAGACATAATCCATTGCCAATCCTGGTTGCAAGCCATGTTTAGTTGCATTGGATTTATGTAATTATATTCAAAGAAAAATTTTTATTTGTTCGAATCACTGATGATCTCTTCGATAAAAGCTAAAAAAGATCTACCACAGAAATAGTTACTGCACATAATATATCAGAAGTACATCCAATAGGCGTAGATTTGATTAAAACTATCCGAATTTTCGAGTGTCATGAAGCTAATTTAAACCAATATACGAAGTTTTGGGTTCATACACTAATTTCTAAAGTATTGAAATGTTCAGAATGATTTATTTAGTTTCATAGTACATCGGATAAATGTAAAATTTACAAAAAAAAGATGTATTTCAGTTCCTAGTTTTTCTTTGATTTAATTAACATAACGAACAGATAAACGCGCTTTTATACAACCACTATCAGAACGGTCTTTGCGGACACTTGCAAAATTCGCCGGAATGATCATTACATATATTTAGACAACACTTTTATTTAACGCACTTTACAATATGTAAACATAATGTACTATAAGTGGTCTCGTTTTTTTGCTGTTCGATGATATGGCCGTAAGACCCATTCAGTATCAGCGGCCTTCAGATCCACCGTTCCCAATTTAATTTCATATACTTGTAATAAAATGATAAAAATGTAATTATTTTCTTAAATAAGAATAAAGAACACATTATAAAACCACTTACTTCTCATTTCAAATCGAGGGCCTACTTCAGCAAGCTGTATTTCCTTATTATTGATTTTCACATACACATGATGTCTAAATATACAATATATTTTAATCTAGTTTTTTGATGTCAAAAGAATTAAATTTGATAATTCGAAACTTTATTACCGAAAAGAAATATAATCGCTTTCATTAGCAAATGTTAATACTCTTTTACTATCATCCTTCGGAACTGGAAATAAATATTTAAGAATATTTGTAACCTACGTGGAAAAAATAAGGCAAAAGTCAGAACTGAAATACAATTCACTCTTTATAGTAAAGATTTGATCAAGAGAATTTTTTAATTATGAACTTATTAAAACTTCAACTCTATATAGTGAAGTATCTATAGAATTCTCTCGATATAAGCTATAGTGAAGACCTTTACTCACTCGGCGACCCAAATTAGAATTGAAATTATGGAATATTAAATGAGGGTATACTTGCGAAACAGTGCCTTCATCTTGAATATCATGACGAAGAACGACATTATGAAGAGAAAAATACGCGGTGGGTCCATAAGGAAAGTGACATATCACCATTCCATCTAAACCGAAAAGAGTGAATTTAATCTTTACAGTTATTATAGAAACTAAATGAAATGAAATTTTATATGAAAAACAGAATTTACCTGGTTCGCCACGATGTTCATGTAGTATTATTAGATCGGTGACTTCATTGGCTCTGCAAGCGTCGACCATGTCTTTAATAACATAATTACCGCGGTTTATACGTTGTGAATTTGGAATAATCAACCGCATTTCCTTTTTTAACAAAAAATAGCCAAGTTAACTACGGAAATAAAATAATTCATAAATATATTTACTACCTTTGCAAATTGAGCGAGTCTACTGCTTGGATCACGTGAAGTCGTAATTAACACTTTGGGATCATATATTCCAGCTCGGGCATACTCATCATCAATATGTGAAGATGGAACTAAATAATGCACGTAGAAGTGAATTCATCATGCAATAGATTAATTCAAAAACAATTTAAAATTCAAATACCAGTTTGTGCTTCATCGAAATTGAGGTCTTTTTGGAGTTTTACAGCTTCCTGACGCAATTCACTTGGTATTCGCTTTCCTTCTGTGATAATCGAAGATGGATTGGTAAGTTATGTTTGATTTATTCTCTAATTTTTTCTAATGCACGATATGACCTTTAATAGCTTCTTTTATTTTTTGCTTTCTCTCATAAATTTGTTTTTCTTTATTTTCCAAAGACTTTCGATACAAATACTCTCGTCTAAGGCGCGTTTGTCTGCGAATCTTTTAAAGCGAAATTATTTAAAGAAAGAAAGATAATTTTTATATCGAAGGCCCAAAGAGAACATACCATGTTGAAAGCTGACAAAATTTTTTATAGTCGCACAAGTCAAACGATTAAGCCCACAGCTATATCTATCAGTCACATGTTTACTTACAGGGGTTCAAAATGTAGTACGTACCGGTACGATAAAGATGCTAAATTATACGTGGAAAAAAATCACGAGACGCCACCTGGTTTTAGCTACTCATCCAAATTTAGCCAATGTACAACACTTCTTTTTGACTTAACGTTAATACACGCGTCCTTCTGTAATTTTGATTATATAAAAAAACTGTAGGGTAAGTTTTATTTTCAAATATATTTTCCGTTAACTGCTTTATGATTCTCGCGTACATACAACTCCTAACACAAACTATGTTTCCACTTTTGTTCAAGAAAATTCACCCACTATACCTTACGTTAAATATTTCCCTTTCGAAAAATGGTCACTCCATTACTATGCTACATGCAAAGAAAGCGCATTTAGTATTTTATAATACTTTACAAAATATCAATAATGATTTATGCATGTTCAAAATCTTATAACGAATAAGAAGGTAAGTATATAAAGAACAATTAATTTTAGTAGATTGGGCTTCTAGCCAGGTTCTTGTACCTATTACATTCGCTCTGATAGGATTGGAGTAATAGTTACTCTTGCAAGTGCTGAATTGGTTGCGTTTATTACATTCGTTTTAGTAGACATTATGGAATTTACCAATATCAATTTTTGATAAAGATCTATTGATTCTGGATGAGAAATCGGTTATTCTTTCTTTATATCAACAAAACTTTAACTATTGGTTTATTCCTGCATCCAGCCATTTTATCTTATTTTTTTGTCTAAATATATTTATTATGAAATATTTCTCATTCAGTTTTGCTTTTATATAGGCTATCAAGACTAAAAAGATATTTCTATCATAATTATCGTCGTTATCATCATTATCATCACTTACAGTAGAGAAAAAGTGAAGTGCTATAGACATCATAGACACTTTACCGAAAAAGAAATAATGTAAGAATGAGTTCTTTTTTCCCAATGCAGATATATCTTTGCAAGCCAATAAATTAGTAGACTTCTCGAAGTGTTAAAGTCAACTGTCTGTACATTTGACAAAAACAATTACATTGAATCAACTCGTGAATATAAAAGTTCAAATAATTTACAAGTTGATTCCAAAATGTAAAAATCCCAAAGAGAGTGTCTACGATGCAGAGATGTATAGAATTAGCTTATAATTTTGAAGTAACTGGACAGTGGTACTTGGAACAAGTTTGTGATAATGGTGATATCACCATTTTTATTGCTATTTGGCAATAAAGAAATCCGATTCCCCCAAATCTGTAACAATTTTAGAAATTTTAGCAACAGCATCCTCATCAAAATTGTCCACTGGACCATTAGCTCATGGAACTGGTCAATGGACTTGAAGTCAATGGACAAATGTGCCGACCCTGTTTGCTACTATCTGTTATCTCAATTTGTTTTAAAAAAGGTTAGTATACAGCATTTTAAAATATACATCAGTCCGTGAGTATTGGAAAATTTTTTTATCAAATATCTATACTATATTTAACAATACTCATGTTTTTAAACCCTGGCATTGTTATCATAGGCAGAAGTTGGTCTGATTTGTAAAATTTTTTTTGTGATTACCTGTGATAATTAGCCAATCAAATTACTTAATTTTAAAAATTCATTGCTTCAATACTATGTACTAGAGAATGAAGAAAAGGTTTATATAAAGAAGCTTACAAATTAATAAATACGCACAAAAAAGAACTTATATTTACAAAATAGGTAAATACTCGTAAAGTGGAGTAAAAATTATATTAGGACAGAGTATAGTTGTTAGGCGAAACTTAGTTTCAACTTTCGTCAAAAAAAAAAAATCAAAAAGGCGAAATTGCAAAACTGGAGAAACTAGCACAACAAAATTGTCTTGGCAGATTCTCGATTTGATTGGCTAAGAGCAACGATCAAACATTTTGGCTGGAATTACTCAAATTTTACTAATGAAATCACATTAAGTGAAAATTGTTCCTGTGCTAATTTTATCATTGTGTGGGTTTATTTCTTCGGAAAAAGTTAACAAGTTAATTCCGGCCAGAAATTAGTAAACAGTTATGTAATGTGGGCCAGATCCACGCCGTTAGCCAATCAAAATCGAGGATCTGATGTAGTTAATTGAAGAATTTTTGCTGCGCCACAAACCTGGCACACGTTTAAGAATTGCTTCGATACTATGGCATTACGGCATTATGGAATTACAGCAATACGGCAATACGGCATTATAGCAATACGGCATTACGGCAGAAAATAATTATGACGATTAGGTACTGTGCCGTAATTAATTCTACCATATGGTAAAATGCCATAAGGCCGCAATTCAATAATTCTACCGCCAACTATAGCTCTAACCCTATATTTACACACTAATTACATCAAAAATATTTGTCATATATATAATACTTGTTATCGACAATCAAATTTTACACATTCTATCTATTATAAATAAATGTTATATTCCTTAGCTGAGATTTAAAACTAGCTAAAGAGCATCAGAAAATGATTGCTAATAATAATAATGTTAATGAACTACTTACATATATATGGTATTTAATGTTTTTTAATGAAATATTAAAGAGAAAAAAACAACAACTTAATAATAAATTTATTTAAAATTTAAACTAAAACTTTATGTTTATTTACATGAATTAATATTAATACATATATAAGCGATTCTAAAAAAAACATTTAAGCTTTGAATTATAAATTCTAAAGCCTGAATTCTAGCTTTCCTTTAATAGTAATCGACTACAAACAAATGGTTATCATTTTGTTTATTACTTTGTATATTTTTCATGTGAGCCACGTGCAAATTATTTTCATCAAATGTTTGAATTCTAATTTTCTTTTAATAATATTTGAATACAAACAAAAAGTTATTGTTCTGTTTATATAAGTCACATGCTGTACTTAATAGCTACGCAAAATATTTTCATTCCCCAACATGGCTTAGTCTTTTCCAAAGTATTAGAGGATTTGATTTTTGACCTTCTCTGAGGTTTTGCCTTTCGCCAGGGGTTTCTCCGGTTTCACCGGGTTTCGACAGTTTCGTCGGGTTTCGTCAGTTTCGCCAGTTTCGTCGGGTTTCGCCAGTTTCGCCGGGGAGTTTCGTCTTCGCCAGGTTTAGGTTTCGTCTTTCGCCATTTGCCCGAAATGGTTTTGCCTAACAACACTAAGACAGGGTGAAACCCGTGCTGTAAATTCTACTACTAAAGCTTATAACTATTCAAATTGGACATTGACAATAAAAATTTATTTATATAAAACATAATAAAACAGTCTTAGACGAAAACATTTCCAGTTATCTTAACTCTACAGTATAATTTTGTATGTTCTAATAGACGGCAGTATATTTCGTCTTCTAAGCAAAGTTCATCAGGAGTGAATTTTTTGAGATTTTTTTTTGCAGAATGAATATTGACAGTGGTCTGAAGCTCGGGTGGTTCTTGCGACAATTTTTAAAATAAAACTTGGGAAAAATCTTAAGTGCATACACACTTTTTATTTATGACAGATGAATCGAATTTTTAAAAGAGTTACTCTGGTAAGTTATAGATGATTGTATTTTTTTTTAGTTTCGTGCTTAGTACTAGGGAAAATGGCACGACAAACCAAATTTGACATGCTAAATGGCATGCCATTTGCAAAATTTGTGCCAAGATGCCACCCTGGCATGCCATTATGCCAATAGATATATTCAAACTAGATTGGTCAGTTATCACGTACTATAGTAAAAAAAAGCTTAGTAGAAGGAAAAAAAAACTTCGAAGAAGAACAACCAGCCCTTGCACAAAAGACGAAGAGAGACTGGTTGGAGAATGGTTCGGGGTGCTATAGACGCGCTCATCAAAATAAAAACAAGGTTATATGATTGCTTGTCTTTTAACGGTGAGTACCACCTTTTATGATTACTGATAAGAGAAGATGATTATGAATGTTTTTAATACAAATCATCAGTACTCGTTCTTAATGCGATAAATATGAAAAATTATATTTATAACACTTGCGTTATATAAAACTATTAACATTTGTATTTGCCTGAGTTAGAGTTAAAGTTTTAGATTAGAGTATATATTGATATATTTGAAGATCGATTTGACTCATTATTTCATATTTTATCAGCTTAAAAAAAAAGCAAAAAAAAACACCATATAATTATTCCTTTTATTAAAAATTATATTTATATTATTATTTCCTTAAAAATTTAATTTACATCACTATTAAAATATTATTTATAAAAAATAAAAATGTTCTGGTCAAGAATTTAATGTGAAATTAATTGATACTTTGTTACTAGAGCATGACAGAAGCCCTTTTTATACATGTATGCTACGCAAAATTTTACGTACCAAAGACCATAGAAGCTTGAGGTAATTTGTGAAAGTAGATTTAAAATTTTGTAAATGCTAGTATGTATATTGTATAAAAATGTCTCTTCTTAGTTATTATATGTCTTTATTTGATTTGGGTGTCGTCAAGTAAAAACCAGGAATTGTGAGTTTTCCAAATTTATTTAACAGTTCAAACCCGAAAAATGTGATTTAACAGGTCATAATTAGTGCTTGTAGTCGATGTTGCATTAGTTGATAAAATCGGTTTAGCCGATTTTTCAAAAAATCGACTTAGTCGACTTTATAATATGATCGAAAAGAAAATCAACTACGAGACAAAAATTCGAGAAATTTCCGAAAACATCCGAAGTTTAACTTAATAGAATTTAGGATAATCAACTCCAAGTCGATAAATAATGATTGACTACACAAACACTAGTCATAATACTGACATCACGAGATGCGACAATTAATAATTTAAAATTTGACAATAATTGTTAATGTGATTACTAATCTTTAAATATTAATTGTCACGTCAGGATTATGATTTTCGAGATTTTTGATGTCGGGATTTGATAGACCTTAAACAATATCTATCTCCATTTCTTATTTTATTTACATAATGGGAATGTTTAAAACAATACGTACGTATATCAGAAATAACAATATCATTATTATTTGGGTGCTGCCGAGGAATTCTAAAAATAGATTTCTTTAGACAACGGATTACAGACTTTAAATGATACTAATATATATGATCAAAAAAAAAAAAAAATAGTATAATTATTATTCTAGTCAGATCGGTTTAAAAAGCCCGCATTCCCAAATCAGTTACAATTTATACTCAGCATTATATGAATTTTCAGGTGATTTTATTATGAAAATTTTTATTATGCGTATTAAATTATATGTTTATTTAAGCCCCGTACGTGCTTGGTTCGTCTGTTTTTAGAATTCCTGGTTTTCACTTTGCGGCATCCATTTAATAAACATTCTATACTTATTTATATAGAATAGAATAACAATAGTAATTGATAGTTGAACAGGAGTATAGGTGGCTTCGAACTTTTTTAAAAAACTTTTTTTTTGAAAAGGCGAAATGAAGAAACTAGTGAAAGGTGAAGAAATGGTAAAAAAATGGCGAAACTGACAAAATACGGTGAAAATAGCGAATTGAGATTGTGATGGAACTGATGAAACTGATGAAATTAGTAAAGTTAATAAAGAAGTGAATATTTATTTATTAACAAATTGTTTAACTCAAATACAATTGATTCTTTTTATATTAAACTGGTGGTTCTGAATTTGAAGACAAAATATAACACATCTTATACGTAATAAAATTTATACGTAATAAAATTAATTGCACCACACGTTTTCTATTTCAGAGATTATCGTTACTTCGATTAAACTTTCAGAGATAGTATTAGGGATTGTACCTGGATATTGTGGCTATGGATAACTAAATAATTTAATTATACTGGTAACTTTATAAAAATATCGAATTATTAAAACATGGAAATTGACAAATTTTTAAAGTTAATTTTTTTTACATAAATTAATTTAGACACAAAAGTAGTTGTATTAATAAAATTTTGCAGTATAACTCTTCAAAATTGATTTCTCGGTGATTTTCACCCTTTCCTGTAGCACCTAGTCCATATAATCAAATATGGCTAATAAACAATTTTTTATTTTAAGCTCTAATAATATTTTAATTTTTTAATTTTATAAGGAAAATAAATATATATTTCTAACAGAATTGTAGAAAAAACAAATCTGTAAGATAGAAAATTTTTTTAAAGTAATTTGTTTCTAAGTTATAAGTATTTTTATATGTATATGTATAATAAAAAGTGGATATTTTTTGTTGTCCGGTACCATATACACTTGAAATCATTAGAGTTCAAGCATAATATTTCAATTTTATCAATTTTATTAAATAAATTTACAAAAATGTATAATTAATGCGAAAATTTTTAAATATATATCTTTATCTAAATTTATATTATTAAAAACAGTAAACTAATTTTGAGATATTTTGGTTTCGGAGATCACTCTCCTATTTTTCCCAACCACAACCATCTCAACTAATTGCAATTCATCAACGTTGCTTTGTAATCATCAGCAGTCAATCTACGTTTAGCCTTAATAAACATTGGACCTGGCATAAATGAAGTAGCTGGTAATGAATAACCTGAGAATTCCTTCTTGTTTCCACTTTCAGACAATGAGGAACCATTATCCAAGCTACTTTGCATCTGATTCATCCAATAAAGCATTTTGCTAGGACTATTAAGAATTTCGATTGTTTCGACCTTATGGATCCATTCAAGTCCGGCTTTATCACTTGAGTATTTAACAATACGTTCAGAGGTAGCGGAAGTAATATATGATTTACTTGAAGGATCCGAGAAGCCTAAACCATTATCATATTCTATATGTAATTTCTTAGAAGAAAATCTAATGTTGCGTTCACAGAATTCAACAAAATGAATATAGAATGATTCGAAACTTTCAGAGTTGCGCGACAGGAAATTAACAAAATGCTTGATGAAAGATCGATTAAGAATGTATTCGATGAACGGTAGAGTAATGAAGAAAGGCACACCATTAAATAAAACGGTTTGTGATGGATCATTAACATATAAATTATACCAAACACCAGGTGTGATTTCATGCTCTATTGGATCAAAAAGTTTTTGATCAAGTGCAATATTCATTAAAACTTGTTGATGTGGTGGAGGATTTTGAGCATGAATAGATAATGTTCCATCATTTTGCCAAAAAGTAGATGATGAAGTACGTAAAACTTGTTGTTCAGCATCAGTAGGGAGTTTATAACGACCAAGCATGACAGAGATAAACCAAGTAGAGAAGGTTCTCCATGATAAGCGTGGCTATTTGAACAAATATATAAATGAATAAATATATCCACATAACAGTATCATAATAATAATAATAATAAGAATACTAATAATAATAATAATAATAATAATAATAATAATAATAATAATAATAATAATATTATTATTATTATTATTATTATTATTATTATTAATATATGTGTATGCATACCCAATAATATCCAGTTACTTTTGATCTCCAAGTACGGCCGGTTGAAACATAATTAAGATAGACACAATGAGGATCAAGATAATGTCTATCTTTTTCATCACCAGCATAACGCATCCTCGCACCTTCCACGGACCAATCGACCAAAAAATTATCACCAAAATAAGAAAATCTACTACGTGCCGAAAGGGCACCCCACAAAGATTGTTCACCACCTTCACTTTTCGGAGCAAGACCCCATTTATCATTCAATCTGAAGTCGAAAAGTCGTTCGAGAAAAGTGAAATAACAAATGAGATGAATAAGGGATAATAAGAATTGTAGTATCGAGAAAGGATGTACGATGCATTTGGAGCCAGGTTCAAGACCAAGATAATAAGGTAGAGTAGAGCCACGATGTGGTGCAGACCAACAGACAACACCTTTAATCATTTTACCGGCTGTGTGTTGTCCGAAAAAGTTAGTAGAAAGAAGATGTTGGAGGTAAAGAGCGGTTGTTGCACCATAGCCTTTGCCTAATAAAGATCAAAGAATAAATTTAAATAATAGTAAAAAGGATAATAATAAAATTATAATAAATATGAAAGAAAAGATTACCTATAAGGACTATAGGGTTGTCTGGACTCCAATTTGGTACCAAACCTTCATATGTTTGACCCAATTGATTATGACAAAATTGATGGGAATGAATAAGACCATAATCCTATATAAAATATGGATTAATAAAAATTTTTTAAACATACGTATAAACACATAAAACACAGAAAACATATAAAATGCGAGGAGACATACCACTTGTCCACCTTTAATTTGATAATATAATTCTACAGCACGATCGTGAAGAGACTAAAAAAGATATTGAGCATATGTGAATATTTCTCAATATATGAATATAAATATCAGAGATATTAAAAAATGTACTTACACCAAAAGGGCTAGGACTGGTGATACAAGGGTCCTCGATTTGTTCCTTCACGTCTCCCCAGTAGTCAGCAATAGTACCAAATAGTGGAATTTCAATTGTGTCATATGGTAATAAACCCGGTACAAGAACAAAAGTATCTTTATTTTCTCCTTCAAAAACAAGTCGAAAATCTTTTATAGGTTCAGAATCATAGGCTGTTGGGGAATCAACTGGCAGTGCACCGTAGACAGAACCTTCCATGTCAGTGTAAGAGGAAGTTTCGTCATCATATGCGTTAAATAAAGTTGCGTTTTGTAAAGTTTTCTTCCTCAGGAAGTTTCTGAGGAGCTTTGACATTGTATATATAATAAATAACTAAGAGAAGACGTGGTGTATTTATCTATTTGTTTGTTTGTTATCTCTTTTTTAGGTATAGAAGGAAAGAGTATTTTAATGTTTGCAACACAAGTAAACAGGGAGAAAACATGGAAATGTTTATTGGTTGTCCGAGTTAAAGTTTAAGGCGGGAAATAGATAAAAGAAAAACGGATGAGTCAAATTTTATTACGCATATATTTATATATTTTTATGTCGATGGTGTCACACTTTTATAAATAGCTTACCTTCAAATATCGATATTTTTTTTTTTTTCTTTTCTTTCTTTCTTTTTCTACTTTTTTTTGTTTTTCTGGTTTTCTTTTTATTTACTTTTTATTTTGTCTGTTGGATGACGGAAAAAATAAGCGAAAGGAAGAAGTGTACACGCATACATAGTAAAAAAAAAACAAGATAAAAAAATTACCTTCTTCTTTACAAGCAAAAATAACGACAACTTATACGACGACAGATCATAAAAGAAGAAACTCGATATTGCGACAAAAAAGACGATTTTTATTTACAAGATTAATAGCAAAATAAGAATAGTTTAATAGGTGTCTTGTGCGTGATTGTGGTGTGAATGCATATATTTATGCCCCAAAAAAAAATTCTTTAGTTTATTCATTTGAAACAATAGTTATTTTATAATTATATATATATTTATTACATGTGAAAAAGAAATGGATGTCAAAAATTGATAAACATATATATAATATTTGATCATCAATAAACCAACTATAGTAACTGTATTGCTACGGCTTATTGCTTAAAGGTTGCATTTCCTGTTTTTCTAATTCAAAAAATTTCGATTTTCCCTATTGAATTAGGAATGATGATATCAAAAAATTTTAAAGATGATTTATATTGTAAGATATATATTTCGTAAATGAATTCCAGGAACACGACATACTGAAGATCATCGTCCCTGGTAGACCCCATAATCACGTGTTTGGCTCGGAAAAATGCTCTTGATAATAAATCTTTGTCTCGGGGGGGGGGGGTTTTTTGTCTTTCATATATTTTTCATATGTTTATAACTTCATTCAGGATTCATTTACATATGTCAAAAAAATTTTCACGACTAAAAAATCTTCCAGATACAAATTTGTGTATATTAAGAAGTTTTTACGCGTCATGACGACTATTTCAATAGTTCGATTTCTTCGTTTGCTATCCCTTGTGTATAATTATTTATATTTGTTTGAAATCGGAACCATTTCTTCATTAGACTTAAGGGGGTTAATCTTACCGATTTACTCAAAATTCCAACTACTTTCTAAATCTAATTAAAAATAGACCGCCTATAGTTAAATCGTTATTGATTAATTATAGAGCTCACTCCTTCCTTATTCTGATTGGTTATCTGACCTAATATTTACTTACCATATAACGATAATATCGAATTCAATTCCATTAATCTATCGAGAGACCTTGATTTACTTACTTAAACTATTCTCATGTGAAATTAACTATTCGTATATACCAATATGTCCATTGTCTCGGATATACTATCTCTATATTGTTCATTCCATAATTTGTGTAATACCTTGAAAAAGTCAAAACAAGTTACACATACCTAAAGCAGATATAGATTAAATGGTAGTATTGAATTTATATTCAATTCCTAACAATACCGTAGTCATTATAATACGTACCCAGTGGGATTTTAGGATTCTAGGTTCTAGTGATTTCTAAAGAAGGTTCCAGTACTACCTTTAATTGGCTTTCATTATATATTTCATACTTGGAATTGATACTCGCGTCAGTAATAACTGACGCGTTAGTTATCATATATATGTAGTATCGACATAATAAAAAAAAACTAAAATCTTTAACGTTAACGTTAAATAATGTTTATCGTTAATCAATGTCTCGGATAAGGCTATTGTTGACCAAACTTAGTTAATATTTCGGCTCTACGGGCCAGAGCAGGCCGTTTATAAACCAACCGACCTCGAACATGTCTACCAGGAATTCATGACTCATTCGAATAATATAAAATATGTTCATTCGAATAATATAAAGATGTTAATCGACTCAAAACCTGATTATATTATATGTAATACCATCAAGGAAAACCTTTCAATTATAATTCGTTCCGGACTCCGGAACTTATTCATGAACAATCCGATCTGCACTTATTATACGTAACGTATAATACGTTGTTGATCAGATTCTTAACGTTACTAGATGATCGAATGAATGTTAAATGAATGTCAAGTGTTTTTTTTTAAAAACAATGTTTTTAAATCAGTTTGAACTCCGATATACTGATACATAGTTAATTTTATGAGTATTTACCCCTAAACATTAGATATCATAAATTTTTTGGTGTTAAACAGAATCGGTCTTAACTCCGATTGATTCCAACTTTAATTAACTTTTTGGTTGATTTACGCGTCCTGAATATGGATGGATGGGTAAAGGAATTTTTTTCCATAACGATAATTACTTATGACTTACCCCTGAATGTAAAGTAATATATTTTTCTATTATCGTTAATGTGTATACATTTAATCGCATGACAGCTGTCGGAAGTGATAATGAACAAAAAATAACTTTGCTACTAAAAATAATCTTAATATGTAATAAAATTTTGTCAATCCTAATTAAAATATTGCACACAATGCACATGCACGTATACGCATATATTCAAAATAACGTGCAAGTGGGCGTTATTACGTATGCGAATTATGATAAGTTTAAAGTTTATTAATCATTCAGGAGTACGTATTGGTTTTTTTTGGAACCGAAGAAATTAAAAATATTACAAATTCATCAATAGAGGTAGATTAGTCATAAAAATCAAAATAAGGTATGATGATAGTAGATAATGATGTAATGGTAAATAAATGATTTTCAAAAGGATCGGGATCACGAGACCGACCACAACATTTTTCTCTATATCTTATCAATAACGATAGTGTGTAAATCATCGTATACAGGATCCCCTAACGATCAGGTTTATTGAATAATTGATTGTAAAAGCAATTATTTTTTTACCTCGATTAATTAATTGTTATTTTTTATTGTGGTTTACAAAATGTGATCGCTTGACAAAATATATATTTAACAATAGGGATCTATTCAATAGAACTAACTAGTCAGCATATTAAAAACCGTGGTTTAATATAAATTCTGACCACTGATAACATCCCTAGTAAGTATCTTATGAAAAAAAAACAAGCCTCATACAAGCCTCATACAATTCTCATACAAGCCTCATACAAGCCTCATGCAATTCTCATACAAGCCTCATACAATTCTCATACAAGCCTCATACAATTCTCATACAATTCTACGTATGATGTACTTATGTCACTTGCCTGAGCTGACCTAGATGTTGGTTAGATAATGTATACAAGACCTGCTGCTCTCTTAGATTTAAAACTTATAATAGATATACCCTAAATCTAGTTATCTAGTTCACAGCAAAGAGTTTATTTATGTCATTACAAAAAAAATTTTACATTTACATTTAGCGTTAGGCAGTCTAGATGGGAAGAAAAACGTGGTTTACACGCGATACAAATCGAAATTAATTGATTCATTGGTTAGTTGACAACTAATCGATTAATCGACTAATTGATTAGTTACAACTAATCGACTAAATAATTAATTGATTAGTTGCAAAGAATCGATTGAAAAATCATATATTTACTTAATGAATTATCAACTGAAAAAATAATGACCAACTAACGCTAATCGATTGTAACACTAAATTGCACCCTAACCGTGTGACATAAACCATCACGTGACATTTAGACCAATATTTATCCTCTCTCTAAATTTTATTAACCGATGATAATCGCCACCGGTAAGCTTAACAATATTCAAATAACAAATATACATGGAGTTTAAATAAAATGTAGTATGCAAAAGTTATATAAAAATATGAGGCAATAAAAACCAAACAAAAAAAAAGTATATAAAATAAAATTACAAATCACTTAGTTTTTTTTTTCACTATTTCAAGACTAATAATTGTAGTTGTTTCACGTTTTTAATATTTTAATTCTTTAATATGATGAACCATTAATGTGTACCTCTAAGATTTTGTCTCATATTTAACTCTCCAACCTGTTTGTGTACTATCATCTTCCATCAATTCCCACGTGTCCCAATAATGAGGAACAAGCTTCATCGCTACCACATGTGTAACATCTCTTCTATCAATGGTTTTTATTCGAACATATCCATCACTATCTTCATTTTCTTTCTGTTCTTTTTCATGTAAATGAACAGCATCTAAAAAGGAATCTAAATCATGAACCTTTCTTCCTTGCACTTCAACAATCCATATACCGGGATGGAATGTGATAGATGCGGGTGATCCATAGAGCGTACAAGATACGTATACACCCGTAGGAGGTTTACGTACTTGTTCTAAAACTGCCTTGTACGGCATTTGGATAAGCGCACCAGCCCAACAAACGATCCGTTTTGTTTCCTTTTTTGGATAAGGTGTCGTCGCAACCTTTAAATTAATTTCTTTACCATCCCGCAATATTAACTAAAAAAATTTTCATAACTTATTAGCCATCGGTTACTACCATAAATAAATAAATAAATTTTATAAATATAATTAATTACCATATCTACTTCTTCAGATTGATGATAAGCACGGGGTAAATCTGCCATTCTAGTCACCAAACGACCATTCATCATCAATACAATGTCACCAACTTTCAAAAGTTTACCAGCCGGACTTGTAAAATCCAATATATTTAATACGTATAACATGGTATGTTTTGAATTTTTCGCAGATTCTATTCTTTTTATCCATTCTGCAGAAAGCCCATAAGCACGAGCTGTGGCTATTCTTCGTGTCCAAAATTCCACATTTAATCCACGTAATTGTGGATATTTCCCAACTTTAATCATTTCTATAGTAGTTAATACTATCGCTATGGGAAGACCACAATAAAATATGTAGTCATTCTCACTATCATTCTGGGATGAATATTTAAGCCAAATGGCTTGAACTCTACCATTGGATTCACATAAAACTCCACCTATAAATAAATAATAAAATTTTTGTAATTAATTTATATATATATATAATATGTTTTTTCTTGTGAAATTAATGAATGTTTAAATAAAAACATACCCTGCGTTCCTATAGCGTCATCTACAGTTATTCCTTCTACATTCATAGCTCTCCATCTAGGAGGGTTACATTCTCTTGTATCGACATCACCAATATGATTTACATAGGTTTTTTTCATTACAGGTGATGAATCTCCTGCCACACTTATAAGATATACTTCATCACCTTGATCTAATTCTTTATTACTAAATTCAATCGCACGAACTGGTGTATCACCCAAGAGTTTTGGGTCATAAGTGAGAACTGCATAATTATAAATAGGATGGAGATAAAGAATTTTTCCCGGTATAATTACACTATTACCAAAAGTAATAAAAATATCTCCAATTCCTATAGGAATAGTATCACGATCACAAACGATCAACGGTGGATCAGTAGAGAAAATTACGCCGACACCATAAAACTAAAAAAATTAAAACAAAAAAAATTAAGCATGTTATTAAATTATAATATAATATCATGACATTATATAATTACCTGTTTTCTTAGCATTCCGTCCACTAAATAAGGTAGGCGATATTCGAGTAATACGAACGAAGGCCAAACTTTCCCAGCAGGACTTAAGGAGGCGTGTAAAGTTTGATATGATGCGGTTATCGGTTCATATGAATGAATGATCGGAGGTGGTGGCATTTCAGTATAATTCCATAAACCGGTGGTATCTAATAAATGAATTAGATACAAGCAACAAATCTTCCAATGAACCTGATCCATGTACACAAATCACAAATAAAAATCAGCCAATAAAAATTCGCATCACAAACGATTATTTTAATAATAACTTACCATCACGAACTGCTACTTGGAATTTATGCCAATGACGATCTACATTCATAATAGTAACATATTCTTTATGAATTTTAGAGAGGGAATAAAACCTTATAGGTACTCTTGCACCATCTGGAAGTGTTTTCATTACATTAATGAATTCATCTAAATTAGGAGTCAATTTATTATTGACGCTGACAATAATACATTCACGATAAGCCGAAGCACCACCGAGCATATGTCCACTTGCGGCAATAAAAGGACCACCGACAGGTTGAGAATAAGAATGTGCCAATTGGTATGACAATTCATTCACGACACCACCACCAATTTCTACAAATCTATTTGGTGTAATATCATGAAGATCTTGTACACGGACAGTAACTTCTTCAATTACTTTATTACGACATATAGTGAGACGAATTTCTTCACCGATAGAATCATCAATAAGAGAAAATAAACCAAGAAAATCGGTGACAGTTACTTTATTAGCTGAAATTACTATGTCACCCGGAACTAAAATATTATCAGCTAGACCTTTGGGTAAAACTACACGAACAACCAATAAACCAGTTTCATCTGGAAATTCTTCTCTAACTTGTTCTTCAATACTAGGATCAAGACCCAAATGACGGAGTTCATCATAAGGCATATGTTCAAATTCAGTTTGAATGGTACCACGAGGCACATTTTTTCCTTCTTGAAGGAAGTGAAGAGCACGTTTCACCCTATCTAAAGGGAGATAAAAACTGGAAGCAGCTCTACTAGCACTACCAGAATTTAGGGCCACGGCATGTCCATCAATATCAAGGACAGGACTTCCAGATGAACCACCACTAGTTCCTGAAGCAGCTTGCAAATAAAATGTATTGAAATCATTATATTCACCAACACCATATTCTGGTGCTCTAAAAAAAAAATTAATAATAAGATTGATTAAAATTGAGTAAAAATAAATTTTGATTAAATGTATAATATACTTTTAATATACTTACCTCCTATCAAGCCTAGCTAAGGTACCTGATAAGATTGACAATTTTTCACCAGCATCATTACCTACGACTCTAATTTCTAAACCTACTTTTGCTCTTTCAGGACTTAAAGGTATTTGAACAAGTTCCATAAATTTTACTTTTTTAGGATTAAATTTAAGAAAACCAAAATCATGAATTGGATCACGGTATATAGGTTTTAATTCTACTTCTTCATAATTAGTAAAGACAGCTTGAGCTACGATAGGAGCTGGTGATACTACATGACGATTTGAGAGGATCAAACCTCTTTCAGCGTCAACAATAAAACCTGTAGCCGAATAATCGCCTATTTATAGTTTATAATTTATAGTTAAAAGGATTTTATTTATCAATATTTATTTATCAAATATATATCAAAAATATATATCAAATATGTCACACAATGATTTTTAATCCCAGACCAAAAAAAATTGAATCCGATAATTTAATAGTTTCTTTTGTTGCATAAATGAAACTATCACGTGTCATTAAATAATTTAAAAGCTTTCTTTACCTGAAGTCTCAGTATCAAAACTTCTTACATGATTAGCTTTAATAGAAACAATGGCTTTAATAGCTTTTTCTAAAGTAGTCTCCCAAGATTGTACTTCAGTAGTGATGAGTGAAATATCATCTTCAATAGTACAACTTAGTTTTGCAGTTTGGTGAGTACTTGTTGAATGAGAAACTGATTTTGAACGAGTTCGAAATGTTCTTTCGTTGAGCACCTCATTGTTCATCTGTGTTGGTGCTATTTGGTCCCAAGTGGTCGAGGTTGTTGATGTTTTTATTGCTTCAGGTTCATTTTTTAGATTCTCACTAACCTCCATTTTTTTTTTTTTTTTTTTTTTTTTTTTTTGATGCAAAAGATTTAAAACTTTACAAAATAATTTAAAATAATAATATATGACAAACAAAAAAAAAAAAAAAAGATAAAGTTTAAGAAAAGTACATGATCAAAAGTAAAGGACTACCAATTATTTTTCTGTGTGAATGCTCATTTATATAATATCCAATGTTTATGCTTTCCTGCACTTTAGTAATCAAAAATTTTGGTAAAATTCTTACTTGGGTTAAACGGGTTAAACGTTAGGTGTTGGACCTATAATTGGTGAAACAGTATCATGTGATAAATGTGATAGGTGAACTTTTTCGTGATTGGTTGATAACATGAAACTGGAAATTTGATTAACCCTATCGGGTTATTGATGGAGTGGCATACTCCGGAGCCACTCCAACTCACATTGGAATAAAACATTTGAATGGGTCTGAATAGATTTATAAATTTGAGCAGCCCGGAGAAACACGGAGTTGCTTTAGAGTATAATCTGAAGCAAGGTGAGAAGCAAAGTGAGAAAGGTGAGAAGAAAGTATAGTTTAATGGAATGAGTTGAACCCAACCCATTAACCTATTGATTGGCTAATGGCCTTATACGTATGATCTGATACCTTGGTCATATAAAGTTGGATATGATCTAAAATGGTCAAAACTGGCTATAACAGATAACAGAAGAAGGCAAAAAAAATCATATTATACTATATATTAGAGTTCATTATGAAAGGCTAGTGATCCCGATGACAATGAAAAATCGACGAAAATTGGATCATGCCACTGCTAAATTTCGATTTGTAAAACAAAACGAACCTAAAATAGATACAAAGATAAAAGGTCCGATAACGATAATTTCCGAACTAAAACCAGTTCATCGACTAATCCGGCTAAGTCAATAAGATCAGCCAGGATCGCTAGAAAAGACTCATTAGAGTCATGTAATTATTTAAAGTTTTTAGACGGCTTTATTATTATAATAATAACTACAAAAGTTCTTTATGTTTTAAAAAACACTGTATACATTTCTAGAAAATCATTTTGCCTATTTTAAAAAATGTTGCTTTGTTAACTTGTTTTTACTTGGTCAAATATATTGAACAATTTAGTAATTATAGTACGTATAGTTATAAGTACACAAGTGGCACAGTAACGTTGGCGTTTCATATTAGAGATAGACTCTAAATAGAATGAACGATGCATTAATGTTACACGGATTTTTATATTAAAAAATCATAAGAAATAACGATAAGGAGTGTGTCATATATGATACACAAAAAAAAAGTTTTTTTTTTCGAAACTTTGTCAAAATTGCAAAGAAAAGAAAATGTCCATCTCACTGATCTATCAAGTTACAAAACTTTCATAAAAGGTGACTATGACGTATAAATGTATGTTCAAAAGATATGTATAAACCTCTAAATGAATGTGTAGCACGTACGTAACAGTTAAAAATACTGTAATATAACATATTCCCACGCCTAGAATTATTTATTTTATGTTCAGTCACCTGTAAGAGTTAGTTGTTAGGGAAATTGTATAATTTGAAGGGCTACGCATGTACGTACGTACGTACGTAGATTGTTACGTATCTGGTATCAGGTATAAGCGTTTGTGTAATTCTGTAATTGTTGATTTTCCGAAATTTAATTTTACTGAAACGGGCTCATCATATACATGAAATGCAATGTTAGAATTTTTTATTATCGTTATCATTTATTAGAGGGAACATTAGCATGCAGAGTTATAAATTCCAAATAAATTACACAATCTAAATACGCAATCAGAGATACTATAGTAAAAAAACTTTTAGAAATACTATCGCTATGACGATATGTATTAGAGTACGTATTATATTGATATTGATATTTGAATCTGACAGACAGCAATATATAAATACAATTGTAAATGATTAAAGAAATTGTGAGCAGTGCAAACTAATCAGATTTACGTAACACAATGATCTACATACATTACGAAGACTATCTTGTATTATTATTTTGTAAAAGTGGAGTTCGTTCTGTTCCTGTTCGTTCTCCTCGTTCTGCTCGTTCTACATTGCTAGGTGAATGAGTACGTAAATGCCACCAAGTGACAATTCGATGAACTATAACTCTCAAAATTCCACCAACGATAAGACCGGAGGATACAGAGGCAGCAATAAGAATTGGTAATGTTTTATATTGTCTAATGGCAATACCAATAAGAGACCAAGCAAGAGTACCAGCAAAGATAACATCTTCGCGCTTAGTATAATCAACGAATGATACACCAACAAGTCCAAATACAGCAATTATAATGGTGGAAAAGAATACTGTGTCTATAGTCTTAAATGCGACCCAAAAGTTGAGTGTAGTAGCAACTATGAGCCATGAAGGATAGATAGTGAATGGGTAGTGGATAAAGAGACGGTCATAAATATTTTTTGCGGGATAATGTTCAAGATTGACATATACAAATATCAAAGCTAATAAGCCGCATGCAGCAACAAAGCAATCTAACATATAATAATCCATTCGCTATAAAATGCAAAATAAAATGTAAAATATTTTAAGTATTTGATAAAATGCGAAATATATTTTATATTCAAAATAAATAAATAAATAAATACCCATAAAACTACCCAAACGATGTTTACAATATTTGCGAGAATAAGATAATATTTAACACCCTTAACGGTGACTTCTTCAGCTGAATCGAACCATTGGTAAATAACGAATCCACCGAGTAAAGCATAAATGAGACCCCAAATTCCAAAAGTATAGGTAGCTGGCAAAATGTGAGTGAATGGCGCAGCACCATGAGTACCGTTGGTACCGTTGCCTTTAAAATCACTACCACCATCGCCTGGTTGTTCTTTGATAGCTTCAAAGTATGAATTAAGTCCTAAGACTAAAATATAAGAAAGGAGGTTGGAAACCTTTAAAAAAATCTCGTAGCTGAACCTCATTATTTTGTAAAAAGACTTTCGGAGTCTCTGAAATGAATCTTGGGGAAAATATCAGTGTATTTATTAATACATAGATGGGCGTCCTCATGCATTTCATCTGTGATACCATATCATGATTTGTGATACCATATTATATGATCTGTGATACCATATTATGATCTGTGATACCATATTATGGTTATCCATCCATCATCAAGATCATTCTACAAACATACAAAAGCAAAGCACACAAAATTGTATTTGAATAATAAATGTATTGTTGCACTGCATATAAATTTGTCTTATTACATAACCGCTTGGCAATGTTTTCATTCTCTGTTATACAATGATAAACCTTCGTAAATATCAATCTATTATAGTAGGTTCAATATTTGGTGTAGGAATCGGTCTTTACGCATGGCTTCCAATGATGGAGCAATATAAACGGTAAAATATTAAATTTAATCCCAAATAATTATAGTTCTCAGATAATTAACTTTATATTGGAAATTCACCAGTGAAGGAATTTTCGAACAACTTATGTTGCAAAAATCTGACAAAACCAACAATAACACAAAGAAAGATACACCCATGAAAGATGTAGATGCCGATAACCCTAAATTAATGATGGTCCAATCTTCGAAAGGATCGGGGCTGGATAGTAACGAATTAAGGTCCGAGTGATTTTTGGTCCTCGGACTGGTTCTAGTTCAAAATTATTAAAGGTGTTAATGCTTTTATTCGGACAATAATTCGAACTATTACAAACTAGATTACAACAGCCAAAACCACTAATATCAAACTTATATAAGATCAAATCTCTGTAAATATATTATTATCGATATGACAATTAGGGTTGTATTACATAAAATTACATTTTACGTTACATGAAATTAATAGAATGTAACTTTTACATCAGTGTATTGGATAAAAAATTATAACTCCGAACATTCTTGTAACGCTGGCGAAACTTTTGTAATGCTGGTGTGCCAATATTATTCTCATGAGTAAAATTACATATAACGATAATCTATACGTATAATTTTGATGTCTGAAACTTACTTGTCACACAAATTACGTAAACTTACGCCAATTACAGTAATTTTCAATCCCGCCCAATTTTATTACGTATAATAATAATAATAAATAAATAAAGAGCCTCCTTTTATCTAACCGTAACATGAACTAGCAGAATGATCCGGCATTGTAAAATAATTTTTTATGTGCTGCACACCAAGCGTGGGATTAGTCGTGTGGAACTAGACCAAAAAATATACCAGACTGGTCTACTAACATCCCTACCTCGAATTTGCTATTTTATTATTGTATTTATTTATTACGTGTCAACCACATGACACACCTATCAAAGCAAACCAACATCTATAAAATTAATATAATTATCACGTAAAACTTATATTAATTCCAAATATATGGGTAATTATGTTTTGAATATAGACCAAATGTTATTATGTAATATATAAAATTGGTCCGGGTTCGAAAATAATTGCCCATATTGATGGTTTTACTAATTTTCTGATTGGTTCTATTAATTATTAACATATCAGAGTATCTATGTTATTATAGTATTCTTATAGTGAAGCGGTGGTCTCTATTTGTATACGGGCAATATAAAAACAAGTCAATATTTCAAAATTTTGATTATGAAACCACCTTTCGGCTTTTAACAAAAAAATTCTTGTGCAATTTTGGTATAAGCTATATCTCGCCCAATCCCAAACTGCCTTACCCTAACTATAAGCAAGAATTTAATTTTTCGGTTGTAAAAATGGGTTTGATACCATGTTACACGAAGTTATAATTCAATAAATTATACCCATGTATAAACACTACGTGTAAAACTAATAAATTTTCTTTACATTATATGTAATTTTACGTAAGTTTCAGAAAATCAAATTTTATGTAATTGCACCATGTCATATATAAAGTACCGAATTGTAACTCCTAAATCGCCGAAAATTTGATCTCAGAAACTAAATATTATTTGTTCAAAATTACACCCTAATATTGTTAAAATATTTGCTAAGCACTCAGAAATATGTACCGGGTTTGCTCCTGAACTTCGAATCAGATTTCAAGGTTACGTGTAACGTAACACGATAAGGAAGATTCAATACGGTCGTTCTGTCAATAATCGCTTATAACTCAAAAATCAGCATAAGAAACCACCTTTTGTGCTCTAACAAAAAGTTTTAACTGAGCAATTTTACTATTACGATTATCTTTCTAACTCATAACCCTGATCCTAACATTAACCTTAACGAATTTTAAAGAATTTTGTCTGCGCCACAAACCTGGTACACAATGAGTGCTCAAGATTGAATATATGATTGATAGACTATTTAGAATCTTCGAAATTTCTCATTATCGTTATCACGAAAATTGCTGGATTCCACTTTTTTTGCAAAGCATCATTGATCATTAATGATAATGAACTTTTATTTTATCTTACCCAACAAAAATATTATTCCTGGTGGATCAACGGTACTGTTCTTGATTAGACGAAAAAACATTGATTCCTGATAGAATCTTAAAAAAGTGTCTCAAATACTATTAGTATATCAGATAAGGAGATGAGAATGCGTAAATATATATTTTTTTTTATCCCGACATTTCATATTATCACGTAAATTTTTTTGCCGTGATATTTTTTGCATGAAATTACGTAATCAGTTTTGCAAAATATCAGAAAAAACTTCACATGGTCGTATTAACTATCGGATAACATCAATATTGGTAGGGATGTTAAGTCGTTCTTATGAACCCGGTCTGAAAGTAGTCTGGTCCTAATCTCCGAAAAAACTACTGTAATACTAGTGGTTCATAACTAGTCTAATAATTAATTACATAATTCTAAATTTTAATTAATTTGTCCGGAGGACACTAAATTATTCTGCATGTGATACAAAAGGTACGTTTTTGATGCATTTGGCTCAAAAAGGTACACCAACATAAAAATTATGAAATTTACATCAGAAACGCAATTTGGAAATTTTTTGTGTGTCCGCACGCGTGTCTATATTTGTACTTTAATGTGACACTAACATGCTTATTTCGCGTTTGTTAGGCTAATATAAATGTATATATATATTTTTTTTAATATCAAAATGGGAGAAACTTAGCAAGCAATGAACACGTCCGAAACACCTTTTTTCATGCTAAAAAAATCGAAATGGTAGTTTATACCATATAAAACTATATGCATAGAGAAAAATTGCATGTTTTTCTTTTTTACACAAGAAGCCCGTTTTTTTATATTATAACTAGGTATCAGGCCCGTCACTTAAGAGTAGGAAGCAGTATTTTAAATTATATATAAACTTAATGGTAAATTTTTTTTATATTTAATTTTATGAAAAATTATTATTATTATTTTGGTGTTAAGGTGACCTCTTTGGTTTTAACTTTTTATTAATACTTATGTCAGATACATGTTTTATATAGATGTATCTATAATGAACTATTAGATGAGTGTATAACTAGTTACATATGTAATTTTTCTATATTACCTATTTAAGAAGTCTGTTTGGAGGTTCCTCACCAGTTGCTGTACCTAATATCTCTGTTTAAATATTTCATTTAAACCTTTTGATTTGATCTTAGTATTAATTTTATCAGATTACAGACTTAGATCTTTTTGTTTTTAATTATAAGACTATAATTCTTAGATTATTTTTATTCTTAAGATAAACTTACCAAAGCAAATTATATTTCTTTTTTACTACTAATCTGATTTAATGTTATGGTCAAAATTAATACTTGTAGTCAGAGTTATCTATTAAACTGCTATTACTCTTATAAAGTTTATCTAAATCTTAATACTTATCTTCTTTGACATCTTTTTCATCATCTTTTAGTAATTGTTATTCAGAATCAATAGAATTTCTCAAACTACCAATCCAGATAGTCTAATATAATATACTTATATATTTTTTTTTCTAATGATTTTAGCAGTTTCATTGATATATATTTTTTTCATATACCTGTCATTCAGTTTATTTAATAATTTCTTTAAAGATATTTTATGAATTTTCTTTGGTCTAATAGTATTATTAAAAGTTTATATTATCTTTTTATTTAGGATTTTCAAGTAGGTTCTGTCTTCTTGATTTCTTAGTTTTCTATACCTGATAATTTTATTATAAGTTTGTATTAAAGTTTTATATAATATTAGTTTTTTATATTTTTCTATATATATATTATGTTATACTTTATATAAATATCTTGAGTTCCCAAAATCAAGTAGATTTTAATCTGGTATACCTAAGATTACAGATGTATAAACTCAATTAATTAATAAAAGAAGTTATCATAACATAGTTATAATTTTTAAAATTTATCATTCATAAGAATTGAACCTTAAATCTGTTACTTAAGAGTTAATAATCTATTTATTTTACTAGATCATTACACCTTTTTTATAAAAAAATTATATTAAGTAACCTAATTTTAATAATTAAATAAAAATTATAAAATAGGTTTTTTTGATTCTAATAATAGTAAATTTATTAAAATAGATTAAAAACTCATTAAAATATAAATTTTTAAAAATTAGAATATAAAATTATAGAATAAAATTTTTTTATTAATTAATTAAAAAATAAAAAAGTTTTATTAGTAGTATATATCAATTTTAGATGAAAATTTTAATATATTATATATAACTATATAAAAATAATCTACATGTCTTCTATTCTTAAATAATAGACCATAATGATTATAAGTTATATGATGCATATCTTATTACAGATATTATAAATTCTACCATATTTTCACAAAATAATGCCCATGTGCATTATTTTGAAATTCAGACCCTCTAAAAATAAAATTATAGTTTCAAAATAATGCCCATGCACATTCCGAAATAATGCGCATCCATATAAGGTAATCATATAAATATTGATAGTTTGATTTTATATCTTAGAATTCATAAAATAGCTAATAATAGATGCATTTATAAATTTTTATATCAATACAGTATATAAATTAAATTCATTACTTTATATTAATTAATAAATCTTTATTATATATTTGTAACTGCGTTTTCTATTTAAATAAACATTTTAATCATTTTAACTTCAATTCTACCATTTTTTTGTTTCAACAAATATTTCCGATTGCATTAGAATTTTTTATTTTAAAAGGTTAATTAATGACCTCGTAACTCTAATTCAATTCAAATTGGTATTAAAAATAATAAACATGTAGCTTTTACTTATAAAAATCAACCAATATGGAAAATTCTAACAGAATAAACTTACTTGCATATTGCTATGAAAAAGAAATTGGTGTTAAAAAAGACAAACGAATGGTGTTCATTTATTATCAAAAATCGGCAAATATTGGATATGTTTTCTTTTTAGCAGACACAATAACTAATGTCTTACCTTATGTTCATCCTTTTCAACCCCAAATTTACTAGCATTGCTATTTCAGTAAATTAATAAAGTACGATCTTGATTATTAGTTTTAGAAAATTATATTCCCGCAGATGTAATAATAAACACTTTACTGTACATTCATCTTTTTTTAACCTCAATTCTACTAACACACCTATTTTAACAAATTAACAAATGTCAGACTTATTTTTTGACTTCAATTCCACTGATATTTTCTATTTTCAACTCTAATTCCACAATACTTACATCTCAAATATTTCATTTTCA